TTTGGGTTTGCATGATTAATTGCTAAATTAAGTCCACTCAACTGTGTGTGTTTTAAGTGCATATTTTAGAAAGCGAGCCACAAGAGGACCCTGGATATATGGTGAATATTCATTTCAGGATGTGGGTTGGTTAAAGGTGAGAATTCAATGCTGAGGAGCAATTAAAATCACTATAACCAAAAGCAAGTGTATTTGCCAGCTGTAAGTTTGCAACTGCATAGAATTTTACTATTAAATTGGACTGGCTTTCATTATTTGTTTTAGGGATAACTGACATGTTTGTTTCTACTGCTTCACTTGAAAAAAGTTTTTGTTGTGATTGTAGTTTGTGTCACTATATTAAACTTTTGGAGTGGTTCTTAGTGCATTTTCTGAAATTCCAATAAGCTGCAAAGAATATGACAACACATTATCAAAATGGTCCTGTGGTATTTGTACATTATTTTTTTAAACATCTATTGGCATATATAAAAGAGATGCACATTTAAACATATTGACATTTGTTTAATGTCAAGTTTAGCTAAATTCCTGGTGCTTACATAACTATAACCATTGAACGTCCTTGGAAATGATTTACCAGTTCCTCTCAAGATACTTTAACTTTCCCACTCTAGTGCAGGTATTAACTGGTGGCCTCCCGTCCATCCAAGTACTAACCCAGGTCTTATCCTGCTCTGCTTTTGAGTCCTATTGGCCAGGTGGTGCTACTAGCCGACATTTTAACACTACCTTGCTCAAATGCAGCCTCAACAAGGCACGCTTTAAATAGAAAATTAATTCCATTTGATGTCTGCTACGGCACAACCCTTCCGCCCTCGTCCAGGGAGTCCAGATTCGAGAGGGAACCTTCGCTGTCTTTATCAGGGGAAGGTGGCTTCACGTCAGCCTGGGGGAATGCACGTGACCTCATGGGCTTCAAAGCCATGTTTTTACCAAAGTCTTCAGAGAAGCTGCGTTCTCGCGAGAGTTCAGTCTCGTGGTTGCTATAGATACAGAGACTGTTTTGTCTCTAGAGTTAAGATAGGCTGCAGCTCGCTCCGGGGAACCTTGCGTTGAGGTAAAAACGGGCTTGACTTTATTTTTATTTTATTTGATCACAGGGACTTTGAGAGGGGAGTCGGCATTGAGACGGGGTGAGGGTTAAAAGAAATAGCGCCAAAATGATAGCCGTATGATTCCTTGAGCCCGGTATTGTAACTGGCAGCACGCTTTTCGAAGGGACATGGTCTAAAGCGCTCAACAATGGCGGTGGCGGCGACGCAAAGGCTTTTGGGATAGTAGTCAGCCGATGTGAAGGTACGGGCTTCCCCTTCCCTTCCCTCGAAAACGGTGTCATGGGTTAGTGTGGCATTCTGGGAATTGTAGTCTGAGTACCGGAGTGGTTCCGGGAGAGGCTAGAGAAACGATACTTTAATTCTTGCAACGACTTGCACGAATGTAATATTACTGCTGTGAGATCTCAACATTTTAACTGTATTGTATTATCGTACAGTTGGCTTTTTCCCTCTTTTTTACGATTTTTAGTGTATAATTTCCTGTTTTATTTTTCATTTCTTCTGTAGTCGGCCTGTTCTTTTTCTCTTTTCCTTATTAATATATAGGGCTGCGCTTAGTTTCTTGGTTTTTTTCTTTAATATATAGCTGTTTCAAGAAGAGTTGTAATTGGTTCACTGTTCTTATTCTTACTGAAATACATTGGTTTAAAACTTTAATAAAAATAAGGTTAAAAGAGAGAGAAGCGCGATGCTGTCCTTCCTCTCCCTTTTCTGCGTGAGAAAGTTGCCTTTATCTGGGTAGGACTACCAGAGCTGGGGGTGCAAAAATTTGGGCGACCAGAGAGATGGACTATTCTGTATGGCTTTTGTTCCTTTTTTCCTGTCCAAGGTGTTAAAATTTCCTGTCCAAAAAGATTTTGCCCACTGCACATTTAATTGATTGGTGTGATGTCCTTGTGATTACAATGTGAGTGAGTACATACATTTGCAGAGTTAACTTTCAACCGTTGATCGATATCCTTAACTCTAAACCATTTGGGGGAACAAAAGCACAACACATCTGAAATAAATGGACGTAATCAAGTAGCATGTGAAACTCACTGACAGACAAAAACCTTTTAATGGCTCTAAAAAGGAACAAGCGCCTTCTGTATCTGCCATCTGTTAGCAATCCAGTTCTGGTAGCTTTCATGAGCATGCGTGGGTGTATAAGAAACCCATAGTAGTCAGTAGCAAAAGGGTGTCCATTGGAGTCTGTCTTTAGTAGCTGCTCAAAACAGTCAGAACATCCAAAGATGCTGCTTTACTTAAGGTGAGAAGCATAGTTGGGGCAGCAAATCCTTTCAGTTATATGTGTTGCTGTTGCTGTTCCTTAAATGTTCACAAAGTCAAAGGATCATAATAAGCTTACCCTTGAGTCAAAGGAGCATGCAGAATACATTTTGAGAGTAATGGGACATGTCATCCATTTTCATGTGACAAGGTTGAAGAAATTGATTTGTGTACTGAACTGACACTATAGGAGAGACCCCCAGCAGGATCCTCACCATAAGAAATAGTTGAAGGAGTATGAGCTTCTAAAAAGCATCCTTGAAAGCAAAGAAGAATCTTTCTTGATTAATTTTGGTGCCACTTTTTGAAATGCACACAGAGTGGAACAAGGTAGGATCTTGGAAGTATAGCATCTTGTCTCCTACCACCTTAAAAAAGGATAAAAATAAAACCTCTTCTATTTGTTTTTGGTCTACATCCCCCAAAGTGATGTAGCAGGGTGGAACCAGATTCATCCTATAAACATTCATTTATGCAGGAAGGGCAAGGTGCTCAGAAACAGTGGCTTGAAACAGTCTTGTGGAGTTGTCCACTGTTAAAAGTGGGATTGAGGATGAAATCCAAACGTTTGTTCTTTGCTGTGTAATAGAATGCTGCGAAAAATGTTATTGTAACACTATATATTGAGGAAGAGGGGAAATCTGAAGGAGAGAATTATATATTGACCTTGCAGCATAATCCTACAGTTTTGTGTTTTTTGGAAATGTTTTTGGAAAGCAGGTTCCAAACTTGAATGCAGCTATAGTTAACAGATGATCCACAGATTACTTGTGCAAAAGTTTCTCAAGTGTTTTAGTTTTCAGAAATGCCAGTATGGAATTAGTTTCTTACTTCTCCTTAATGATGCATCCATGGTCAACTTTGCAGCTCCCATTCTGAATTGCATTTCTCCACAAAAACTGTCTAAATTCAGGATTGGTAAACTGTTTAAAGCTTTATTGATGTTATTTCCATCATTATCACTTTCCTTAACTATCTGTTTTCTCTTGAAGCTTGTTTAGGATTTTCAGACAAATATATCATACACATTTTCAAGTTATAGCAAAGTTTATAAGATTTAGCCCTGGTTTTAAAAGAAAAAAGGCACCTGCCCTTTGGAACATCTTCCCCCTCCAATTGGCCCTGACTTTATTGGCCTTTTGGAAGGCCCTAAAGACATGGCTTTGCCATTTGGCCTGGGGATCCAGTGGAGATATGGATCCTGTGAAATGATTGTGTTGTTTGTCAGATATGGATTGTACTCTCCTGCAGACAGTGTTTTATGGTTTTCATTGTTTTTCATTGTTTTATTGGTTTTTAATAGTTTTCTTGTTTTGCTTATTTATTTGTGTTTATTTCTTATTTCTTGTTATTTTTAACTGTGTGAGCTGCCCAGAATCATGTATGTATAAATTGAACAAACAAAAGAATAAATAAAACAAGGCATAGCTTTTAGTAGAGGTTATCAGGGTTTGTGGGAGAATGTATTACTTCAACCAATTTAAGACAGTTCTACATGACCCTAGAATTAAAAGGGGATATTACTGGAAAACTTGAATTAATAAAAATATTTTGGTACCATAGTGTCTACTTTTAGCGTTTTGCAAAATTTGGTTAGGGTTTGATTATTTTGTTATGATTAGAAATCTGTAGTGCCCTATTATCTCCTAAGAAATAAGATGAGTCAAATGTTGGTAAAGTGGCATTATGTTCATGCGCAGATACTTTTCTAACATATCTGCATCATACCATAATGCTTTCAGAGGTTTTTAAAAATATTTCCCCTTTAATTATTCACCCCTAATTAAAAATTAAGTGACAGAAAGGACAGTGCAGTTACTGTCATTCCATTCTATTCAAAAGCTCTGCTACTGCCTTTCTAAATGAACTAATGTTGATATAAAGATGGTTAATTCTGAGACTGCTGTTTAGTCTTTATAATACATATTTTTTACTTTTTGTTTCTAACATAGAGAACAAAAAATAATGTTGGAACAAAATAATAATGCAACTAAGAAATGGGCAAAGAAGAAAACCTTGCACAGGGATAAAATTAGAAATCAATATTTTCAAACCTGATGCTGTCCAGAGGAGTTGAGCTATTGGGAATGTTAGCTGGGTATCATTATATTTGCAGGCCATGATCTTTGGAAGGCAACAAGTTGCAAGCTTTATAAGTTTTATTTCAAGTGGTTAAAATGTGACTTAAATTGCTTACATATGCTGAATTATAAATGTACAAGTCAGTTATTAAAATGCCAAAGTTCAATGGATTTGGTCTAAAGGATTGGGGTTTTGTTTTGTTTTGTACTACCGGTTTTGTAGTCTGTCTAAGAATACAAGGGCAGTCAGTCAACTGAGACTGCATACTAACAATATGTTTAAATTTCAAATCTCATTTCCTGTACATTTTGCTTTTTGTGTTACTTGACAGTTAAAAATGTATACTCCTTTCAGGTAAATGGCTGATTCAGAGCAAGAGGCAAATGATCTGTCTGAAACAGATAATGAAAATCAAGCTATAGAGGACACTTCTATAGTAAAGCAAACAGAAGATATTACAGATATTGAAGATTCTACCAAGAACCAGACAGATACAGCATACCTGAATGAAACAGGTCTACCTTCAGAGCAGGAATACAACCCAGAATCAACGCAAGAACTGGGTACTGCTGAGGAACCAATACAAGAGAAGGATGCTGCTGTAGAACAAGTACAAAGGCTAGATGCATTTGAGAACCTGAACATTAGTCAGGAACCAGCACAGGATGTAGATGTTGCTGAGGAGCAGTTGCAGAGGATAAATGCTGCAGAAGATCAAACCACAGCCAAGGAACTAGCCAGAGAGGGAGAGCTGGTTGGGGGTCCGGCTGCGGCTGAAGGATTGACATTGGGGTTGGACAGAATAGGAAAAGGATTTCATACAAAACTCCCAGATTTTCAGAAAGGTGTTTCACATTTCCAAGATTTTGGCCAGGAAATTAAACCAACCAGAGATGAGTCGGGTGCTTCAACATTTGAAAGTAAAGGTGCCATTGAAGATGTTTCTGAACGGCATCCTGGTTTAGCAGCTGTTGTTCCAGAAGGCTTGAAAGATTTGGCGGATCCATTTTCAGAAAGTATAAAAAATGCTACTGTAACAGGTATACATTATATCAGTTATGGCAGTCAGTCTTCCCCAACACATCTCATATTTCTGGCTGGAAGTTCAGGGAATTACAGGCCCAACAAACTGGAGAATACTTTGTTGGGAAAAGTGTTCATAAATAATTACTTCTTCCTTTATATACTACAGAAATAATATTTTCCCACTTCTCACTTTTTCATAATGTCTGATTAATTATTTCTATTTTAACAAAAATTTCTAAAACGATGGACTGTTATGTCATGTTAGCGAAATTCAATATCAAATACATTGATACCATTTATTCCAAAAAGTTCACTCTTCTTTCATTATCACTTTGTCCAAATATTAGCTTTTGAGATACTTGAAGTTGAGAGTGAATCACTGGGCCCATATCATCTAGTAATTCTAATGGCAGATGGGATTTAATTCCATATCTTCCTGCTTCTGTTCTGATATGTAACTAATCACTGAATATCCTTGTTTTCAACTTTAATCATTAATATAAATAATTTAGAAATACAGAAGCTCCTATTTAGCTATTGCAGTTGTTAACAGAAGAAGGCTAATTTCCATTTAGCTGGCAAAGAAGGTGGATAGGTGATTTATTTTGTTTTATTTGCTTCTATTGGTGCTATGCAGCTTCAGACATTACCACTCTAAGGGATTCTGATATTGCTGAACAAATTCTCGAGTTCTCTCCAAGAGATATATTACAGCTTAAGAAATGCTTCTTTGCCTGGGTATTTATAGAGTAGCAACTCCTCCAAGAGAAAGTTGCCTTCAATTTGCTCAAGGATACTTGAGGGATTGTCTGTTTCAGATGGTTTCTGTCCATCCTATTTGATCCAGCAGAATAGATGTGTTCCAGGCCCCTTCTGTGAAACAATGTCATCTTAACACTGTCATCTTATGGAACCTAGGAAGAAATGTACATTCTCTATTATGGCCCCTGCCATATTGAACAGCCTCCCCCTGAAGTTAGGACTGCCCTGATTCTGTTGGCCTTTCAGAAGGCTTTGAAAACGTGGCTCTTTCCTCAGACCTTAGGGCAGGATGTTGATGGAGCTTGTCCTGTGTTTGGTCTGCTTCATTAAGGAATTTTTACTTTGCGTCTACACTATTTTTGTCATTTTTCTATTGTTTTTATGTTTGGTTTTATGTTTGCCATCCAGAGCTAATTGCGAGGTGGGCGGCCATATAACTGCATAATAAATAAATATTACTTAATTTTTTGCCTTAACAAAAAAGATTGATTTTAATTGCTTTGAAAAGACAAAAAAAGTGCACAAGCAAAATTTAATTCTTCTTAATTGACTAGAGACTAAGAATGAAATTAATGAAGAACTATAATAATGGATTGATGTATTTGTTTTTCAGTTAAATTCATGCTACATCCCGATATCCAGATTTTCACGAAGTCTTTTAACATTAACCGAAATGTGGAAGAAATCAAACAGTACTTTGCAAAGCGATTAAAAATACCACTGAATGTTTTACAATTTATGTTGCTAGGTTTGTATCAATATTTATTTTATTTATTTATTTATTACATTTCTCCCCCGCCCATCTCTCCCCAATGGGGGAACTCTGGGTGACTCACACAGAACATTAAAAACATAAATATATATAAATACATAAAACATCAATTCAAAAACTTTTCTAAAAAAGGGAAAGAAAATGAAAAATCTGGGGCTGAAGATAGGAGGCCTCTA